AAAAAAAAAAAAAAGTTAACAATAGTTAACACTCTATGTATGAAATTATGGGCAATTTGTTCTCTTCTTTCTCTACCTATAAACAATTCTATGAGCTAAACTAGTAACAGCAGTAATACTAAACATTTACTGAGTAGCTGTGTACCAGGCACTGTTCTAAACACTTTAAAGGTAGGACCCAACCACCTTACTACCATGGCACTGGCTGGCCCAAAGGGGTACTACTATCATCCTAGTTTGTCTGATTGGAAGACAGATAAAAAAGGCCAACAGGTGGTGCGGAAATTAAGGCGCTGGATCTCACATTGTCAACTGTGCAGTTCAATACTGGACCCAGAGGCTTAAAAATCACACTGGGCACACGTGCATGAGGAGGGCAGATCCTACTCTGCCATTTTTCCATTGAACAATCCTCCAGTAGTGGAATTATACAGAACAATCAGAGAGCTCAAATCTCCACCACTTTGCTTAATGGAAAACAGACAAAAAAAAAAAAAAAAAGATAAAAGCTTTTAAAAGAAATCTGGCAGGATGGACAATGGCACAGTTGTAAAACATAAGGTTCTGTGTGCTGACTCACATGGGAATGTCCTGGGTTTGCATCTGGAGACCTCCCTGAGTCTGCTGAGCATACGTGCCTGTGATCCAGGGCTCAACTAAAGCGGGAGGCAGATCATGGTGTCAGGGCCATGCTGAGGATGCTGTAGCTCTGTCTCTCTCTCTTTATCTCTAATAAAAAATCCACTTAGGGAAAAAAAGAAAGATGGATACAGATGGCCAGGGAAGAAACTTAATGATAAGGTTTGAGAAGGGGGAAAAAATTAGGAAGTAGGATTTCAGGACTTCAGGAAAACCTGAAATTGGAAATATAAATCCTAGAGGCTGGCAGGTGGCATGGTGGTTAAGGACCTGGATTCTCACATGCCTCACCGTGGTTTCACGTCCCGGACCTAATGGCCAAGTTATCACCATCCTTGACAGATCCACAAGCCCTTAAATAGTCCCTATTTCTGTCACTGCTGTGGCTGTCCCTTGAATAATTTTTGATGAAGCTGAAGCTTCTAAATTGTTCTCTCCAAACTGAGACATAATATAAGACCTTTAAGGGGAAAATTTTTTTCTTTTAATTATACTTTATAAAAATGATTATCATATCACATTACATCAAAACTGTATTGGATGTCTAGTCCCATAAAACTAAATTAACTTACATTGCTACCAGGCCAACAGACGGTGTGGTGTTAAGATGCTAGATTCCCACATGGTCAACCATGGTTCAAGTCCTCGATCTGGCAGCTTAAAAATCATGCCTGGTACCTGTGTGCGTGCCCAAAATCCCAGGAAGAGAATGGAGGAAATGAGGTTGTGGCATGGCCATTCCCCCTGGAGGGGTCATTTTTCACTTTCCCTCTCTCTCTTTCTGGCAAGCCCAAGTATCCTATAGCAAAAACCTAAAATAATAAATAAATAAATAAAACGACATTGCTGCTGTATAAAAGTTTCTGTCTAGACTTAATTTTTTCAGCATTAGCTCAATTTTGGTGGTCTTCTGATAAGAATATTTTAAGGAAAATTATGTAAAAATGAGGCAGTCTATTCTACAATGAACTGAGGTTTTTCCAAAAGTAGATGAATCTACCTTTCTTGACATAGTATTCCAGAGGTCATTCTACAATATTACATAGCCTAATATTTTTACTCTAAATTGCTAGTAATTATAATAAAACTTGGAAGGAAGAGACCAAGATGAAGAAGAGTTAATTATAGGACAGGGAAAACAGATTACAGAGGAGTTTTAACAGAAACCTGCTCAGACTGAGCATATGAAAACAGCCACCATTTAGTGAGTCAAACTGTGAACAGGCCAGAGTGCAACGATGCAAGAGCCCATCTTTCTTCCTGGCCTCTCAGCTGGTGACAGGTATAATACTGTTTTAAAGGATTGTTAAGCATTGTTCATAAAGGACCAACAGAAAGAATTGGACCAAGCCTGGTGGTTCACAGATGATGTATCCCCAAGGCCCTCCACTTTTTAGTCATGCACGTACCATCACAACTGGCCTCACTGGGATGTTCTCTTGTGAAGTGCCGGGTGGGGGATCATTCCATTCTGGAAATTTAATAACATCTTTTTGGTATGGGAGCTTCTTTGGATATGGTTTAAGGGGTGAGGAAGGAGGAAACCTACAAACCAAGAAGAAATTCTATTATTAAAGTCAGTAAGAGACACATATATTTTAACAATAGTCCCCACTTTTTATATACCTCAGAATTGATACACTAGTTCCAAACTTCCGATAATAAATGAGCGCATACTTAATCAAATTATTACACATGGATAATTATATCCAATAATAATAATATGATTTCTGAAATATTCATTCATCATGCCTATCAAATAACATTTATGGAGAAAACTGGGGATTGATTATGTGATTTTTTTTTTTTAAGAGAGATTTTAGCTATATAGTGTATGTGTTCACTGGAGAGACAGAGAGAGATGGAAAGTGAGAAATCAATCTCCAGGGACGGGCCACGCAGCAATCTTTTTGACTCCATTCTCCTCTTGGGATTTTGGGCATGCACACATACATATCCAGCATGAGTTTTAAGCCTCCAGGTTCAGGCCTCAAACCATGGTCGACTGCATGGGTGTCCAGTGACATAACACCATTTGCTGGTCCCAGGATGTGATACATTTTTTAAATAACTTAATGACTTACTCTGTTATCGTTGATTTTCATGACTAAACATGCTTTTTGCTAGAGTACATGTGTGCTCATCAGAAAGAAGAGAGAGGACGAAAGGAGATAGAGAAAGAGAGGGGGAGAGAAAGAGGGAGAAAGATAAAGAAAGCACCCCTCAGGGCCAACAAGTGGAGCAGAGGTTGGGGTAGCTGGATTCCACATGGCCTATTGAACAGTTCTAATTCTGGACCCAGAGGCTTGAAACACACACTGAGCATATGTGTGAGCATGTGCCAGATCCCAGGAGAATAGAAAAGGGATTGCAGTGTAGCCATCCCCCTTGGTGAGTGGTTTCTCCCTTCCTCTTTCTCTCTCTTTCTTTCCCTCTGTCTCTCTCTGTTGAGTACATAAGCCCTATAGCAAATAAAAAAAAAAAAAAAACACATACACACACACACACACACACACACAACACACTAAATCAATCTCAAAAGCCAAAGGTATCCAAAGTAAAATCTGACTTACAGAAGTCCAAACCAATTTTTTAGAAGTCAATAATTGCAATAAAAATCTTATTTCCAGTAAACTACAGCATTTATGTACACGTATGTGTGCACAAACACATATATGCTCACATAAATATATATATATATGTGTATATATATATATACACATATATATATATATATAAAATGTTGCATCTTTTTCTGAGAGTTCACAGACCACACAACTCTCAATCAATTAAAAGTTAAACACAATCCCTACCCCATCCTACCACTAATACCTACTGCCTACTTCCCCCACTCCTGCACCTCAGCTATGGTATAAATTTTGGACCTGAGTTCCAGCTTAGTTCTCCCATAAGTCCATGTCCTTAAGAAGTAAAAGCCTCGGGACCAGCAGTTAGCGTAATGGCTATGTCGCTGGACTCCCACATAGTCAACCGTGATTCAAGTCCCGGACCAGGTGGCTGAAAACTCACGCTGGGCACGCGCGTGCGCGCGTGTGTGTGTGTGTGTGTGTGTGTGCCCAAGATCCCGAGAGGAGAACAGAGGAGAAGGGATTGCGGTGTGGCCATCCCCCCCTGGGGGGTGATTTCTCGCTTTCTGTCTCTCTGTCTCTTTGTGTACAAGCACTGTAGTATCCTCTGAAGACCAAAGTAGAATTTCTTACATGCAGAACTGTGAGTGAAGAGATGCCAGGGAGTCATTTTATTCCTCCACATTGAGAAGATGACGGCTTTGCCCTGAGTTGCATCTGCAGCTGTAACTAGCAGGTGTGCTCTCCATTTTCACAGCTGGCTGACAACCTTGTCTGAGATAAAATGCAGAGGGGCTCCCTCCAGTGGACATTTATGCTGTGCAGTGAAAAATTACCAATTTGATCCTAACATTATAATCATGTAACTTAGGCTTGAAATCCTGTTAAAGATGATCCACTTCAAATGTCGCATTTTTCGCTTAGGGAAATTAAGACTCGAAAGAGAAAAGCACTTATTAAAAGCCTCACAACTGACTGTCCAATAGAACAACCATTTTGCACAAGAGATCTGCAAGCCCTTTAATAAGGAAATTATAACATTCTATTGAGAGACATTAAAGAAGAACCAAATTGACAGAGAAAGATATCATGTGAGTGAATAAGATTCTGTATCACAAAATGTCAATTTTCCTTATGAAGATATTTACTTACAATGAAATTTCAATGAAAACATAATGAGTTTTTCAGGAAACAAAATAAACAGATTCTAAATTTTTTTATGGAAATGCAAAGGCCCAAAATAATCAGTTCTGATAACTGCCAGAAGTTTCTTCCCTCCCTGGAGCTACAGTGTAACCTGAAAACCTTGAATAGATTAGAACCTTGAATGGATTAGGCTTCCTGCTTCTCTGCCTCCTCCCTTTGATGCTGCCTAGGGCCAGCTCTGAGCCCCTTCCCCACTGCTAACATCCTGAGACCACTCCTTCCCCAGTTCCCCTATTAAAGACTATGTCCAACCCCCAGTCAGGGCAGACATTCAGAGTGTTAACTCCTCCGTTCAGCGGTGTAATAAACAGTTCTAAATTCTCTGAGTGCTGCTTTCGGTTCCTTGGCGTCTGGTTTTCTGTAACAATATGACTTATTACAGTACAGACATTACAGATCAATAGGAAAACATAGACTGTTCAAAGAATAGTACTGGATCAACTGATTATCCATTTTGGAAAAATGAGATTACATCCCTATGGCAGACTGCTGCATTGACAAAGATGTTTACAATTCCAAAATATTTATAACTGTACCTCCTACCACATGCTCTTCTGCAATGATTGTACCACTATGGCAGTTATCAAGAGGCAGAGCGCATGGGGGCATGGTCTTCAAAAATTCATGAAAAATTCATATTATAAAAAAATTATGCAGGAGGTGTGGTGTTATCTGTTGAAGATTTTTTGATCAACTAGACTGGGGAGAAATGTTCATATATTGAAATGTTCACTTTGTAAGCTAAATAATGTGATTGAATGTATAAAAATTAAAAAAAAAAACTATGCATGAATTTCAAAAATGTCTTGTACCAAAATAAACTCATATTTTAATTTCATTTTGAAGTCTTTTCATGTTTCCTTACCCATTTGAGTCTAGTTTAATCCCTTCTAATTGTTTTGACAAACAGAATATGGCAGAAGCACTAGCCCTTCAGTGGCTGGAACTCTCTTCCTACCTCTTCAAACTCTTGATCTCATATCACTCATTTTTACAAAGCTCTGTCTCTGAAACTAGCCATGAGGTAAGCAGTGTGGCTATTCTAAGGCTATCATGTTGTGAGACACCTCATCAACAGAAAGAGACCATAGAAGAGGAGATATACAAGGAAAGAAACTGAGGTCAAGGAACAATGAAGCTACAAATTTGTGAATGAAAATGTTACCCTAGACGTGGATTCTCTAGCCTCAGCAGCTCTAGCTGATGCCCATGCAGGCTCTTCCCAAATTCCTGACACACACAATTACAAAAAAATTTCAATGGTTGTTTTAAGTCACAAAGCTTAGCATAACTTTACCACAAAACAACAGGTAAGGAGGAGGGATACAGAGACAGAGCATTGTCAGGATGGGGAGGTGTAGTGTTATTGGTGGAAGATATTTTGATCAACTGGACTGGGGAGAAATGTTCACATATTGAAATGTTCACTTTGTAAGCTAAATAATATGATTGAATGTATATAAAAAAATTAAAAGAAAAAAAAAGAAATTTGTAGTATTTGCATCAGGACCAGGCAGTAAATAGAAGCCTGAAGGATTTCTTAGGAGAGGTTGGCAGAACAGTAAGAAAGTTGATATTAGGGGTTAGCAGTTAGTGTAATGGCTATGTTGCTGGACTCTCACGTAGTCGACTGCGGTTCGAATCCCGGACCCGGTGGTTTAAAACTTAAGCCAAGCGCATGTGCTTGCATGCCCCAGATCCCGAGAGGAGAATGGAGGAGAAGGGATTACGGCGTGACCATCCCCCCCTTGGGGGTGATTTCTCACTTTCTATCTCTCTGTCTCTGTCTGTCTGGCAAGCGCAGGGCACGTGCCCTATAGCAAAAAGTCTCAAAAAAAAAAAAAAGAAAGAAAGTTGATATTAGAAGTTGAAGAAAAGATCCATGTTGCACAGTACCATAAATTTCAGCAAAACTGTCCCCTGTAGTAACATGGAAAATAGGAACAGAAAACTGGCTAAGGAATTTCTCCAAACAAATAAATGAAGAAAGTACCCACTGGTTTCTTGTAGCTGCAATGACAAAGTACAGATAGAGATTAAACCAAAGAAGCAATTGTTTGTTTGTTTGTTAGCAGATTTAGAAGAAATATAAAAGAGCCATGATTTGATGATTTAAAACCTACACTATTTCTCATTCCCAGACCTTCCCAGCAATAGGTTCTCAAATAAAAACGGCCTCATAACAAGAAAAAAATCCAAGGTGTTTCTAGCCAAGCATGCTCTCACGGTAGTCACAAGTAGGTGACTAAAAGATTTTTGCTATAACCTCAAGAAGATTTAAGGCAGTACCTCACAAGCCATTTCAGAGAAACTAATAGAATTTTATAAAAGAAAAATAATTTTTTTTTTCCTATTCTATTTTCAGTCAATACAGAATGTTTCTGTGACTAGAGGTATGGGCAGATTTCCCCACACCAAGCGATTCTCCACTGGACACCATGTGTCCTATTATTTGATTCAACTCTGGCATTTTCTACTTAAAAATAATGTCAGATCCTTCAGGTTAAGGATTCAGTCCCATAAGACTGCCCCACACTTCAGATGCCAAATGCCAAGTCCCAGATTGTGACCTATAACTCTGACCGCCCAGCTATAAACTAGGACTCTCATAACCCTTTCTCCTAGGGTTCAATAATTTCTAAGGACAGTTCACTGAACTCAGGGAAACATTTTACTTGTATTCACTCATTTGTTACAAAAGAGTTCCTTAGGGTATAAATGGACAGCCAAATGAAGAGACCAGTTTGGGAT